TGTTGAATCGGCACAAATACTGACAAACTAAAGTGCAATCCGAGATGACATGCATCTCGAGGCTTGCTCACATATCGGCTCGATGGTGATTTCAGCAACTCTAGCCCTAGCCCAGCGTGACAAATGGTCTGGAGAGCAGCTACTGAGGGCCGTCATTGCTGGTTATGAAATGGCCGCACTTCTTGGAACAGCGATCCGTCGTGGAGGGACTTTCAATGCGCACCTTCGTCCTAGCGGCCTCATTGGCGCCTTTGGAGCCGCAGCAGCGGCAATCGCAGCGGAAGGCGTGGACGAAACTATCGCCGTAAATGCGCTCGGCTTTGCTCTCAGTATGGCTGCTGGTACCAACGAATGGGCCTGGAGTGGAGGCACCGAGATCTTCGTGGAAATGGGTGTGGCCAGCCGCTCTGGCATTGCAAGCTTCGACCTGGCCAATGCTGGCTTCGAAAGTAGCGAAACCGCTCTTGAAGGCAAAGATGGCTTCTTCAACGCAGTCGGATCTGGTGCTGCTGGAGGGAAGGATTTCAAAGAGTGGCTGGAGAAATCCCCCCTCGGCCAAGGCATCCTGGACGTGCGTTTCAAACCAGTGGCTGGATGCAACTATGCCCAGTCGACTTCTGCCGTGGCGGTTCGGATTTTCCAGAAGCATAAGCTAGGTGAGATCGACCGCATCAAAATCACCGCCACCTCGCAAGCAGTCAAATATCCAGGATGTAACAACGCTGGACCATTGAACACCATCCAAAACACCAAGATGAGCATCCAGTTCGGAGTATGCGCCGCCCTCACTTTCGGGAAATTGGACGAGGATATCTTCAAGCTGGCCAACGATAAGCGAGTCAACAACCTCATAGCAAAATGTGAGCTTAGCTCGAGCCCCGAGTTTGACAAGGCGTATGAGCGAGGTCTACAGCCGGCAATGGTGGAGGTCACGCTGGTGGATGGTACAGTACTTCGAGAGAGTGTAGAGGACGTGCCATGGCTGACCGAGAGCGACGTTGAAACTCGTTCCATTTCGGAGCAAGAGCGAGACATTTCCAAGGATGCAGCAAAAGTTGTCGAGGCGTGCAAGGCATTGCGAGGTCTTCCCCAGTGCAATGCGCTTCTTGTGAAGCACAGTTAACTGGTGGTTGGGAGTTGACTAGACCACGCATACGCTGGCTCGATCTTGCCTGAGTGCTCAAGAATCGACTCCAGGAGTGTGTAACGAACCATCCAAAAGGAGTCATAAGATATCAACACCATGTTGCGCAAATTGCCAGTTCGAAAGTGCGTGCGAGGCGCATGTCCTGAGGAGGTTGTAGGTCAGAGAGTGGGACAAAGCGGCGTCATCATATTCCCTTGAATGGCTTAGCCCCGTCTCGCCGCTTTTCCAACAGTAGTCGTCTCGCCGTCCACGTGCCATGCCTACTCGCAATAATTTTTGACCCCGACTTCTCCGTCTCCAGATATTTCTTTTCTCGCATACTTCTATTGTCTCAAGCATTTCTGTGTTGCCGCTGATGACTGTCACTGCCACAATGACGAGCACGGCGCCTGAAGAGCCTGAAGACACCTCGATTACCAGAGTCTATGTCTCAGGTCTGCCGCCGTCCATGACCAAGGAGCAACTGCGGTTGCATTTTGCTGGAAAGTATACCGTGACAGATGCTCATGTCGTCCCAGACCGCCGCATAGGTTTTGTGGGGTTTTCAAATCATGAACAGGCTAAAAGCGCAGTCCAGTACTTCGACAAATCTTTCATTCGCATGTCAAAGATCGCCGTAGCCCTAGCAAAACCCGTCCATGTCAAACGCAATGAAAAAGGCCAGGCCGTTCCTGTCCCCGACCGTTCTTCGAGAAAGAGAAAACGTGATCACCGAGATGATGGTCAAGAAATCCGACGCACTCCGATGAGACAGCCCCAAAAAACTACAGTCGTGGCATCAGACACGACCACACCCATACAAGCAGTCTCAAAAGAGATGGACAGTTCCTCAGATGAGCCTACTTCAGAAAAGGAGCAGGAAGATGACCCTGCGAAAGAAGCACCCGCATCCGACACTGATTGGCTGCGTGGCAAAACAAGCAGGACTCTGGGTTTGCTCGAGGACGCTGAAGACGTCAACGTCCACCCGGTCCCTTCTGACAATAGTGGCAGAGAACCCAGTGCTGGAGGATTAGTGGATGGTGTCCAAGCCAACGAAGACCGAGTAGATGGAGGAGATGATCGGGAGCCGGAACATCACCAACGGGTGTCAGTGCCGAATGCCCGACTATTTATCAGGAATCTTCCATTTGACACCCACGAAGACGATCTTCGGAAAGTCTTCGCACCGTACGGCAGAATCTCAGAAGTAAGTGGATATCCTTTTCCTACTTCCATCCACCATGCATTTGTGATGATTTCCTGATAGGGACAGCTTATGCTCTGCATATGATTCGAACTGGGAAAGAGTATTTTAGTAGATGCCTCTCACTTCTGACACTTTTTCTTTTACAACATTTCTTCCTTATCCCCATCATCGCTATCGCTAATTCCTGGACAGATTCATTTAGTGACCGACACCAGAAAATCCACTGGAAAAGGTCTCGGTTATATTCAATTTGTGGAGCCGGAGCACGCCGAGCGGGCACTGCTTGAACTCGACGCAAAGGACTTTATGGGCAGACTTATGCACATTCTACCATCTTCTGACAAGAAAATACAAAAGCTCAGTGAATTCGAAATCTCAAAATTACCTCTCAAACAGCAAAGAGCGCTGAAGCGGAAGAATGAGGCCTCAAGTTCGAGTTTCAGCTGGAATTCGCTCTATATGAACCCAGATGCCGTACTGGCATCAGTGGCCGACCGCCTGAAGGTCTCCAAAGCCGATCTGCTCGATCCTGCTTCAACTGATGCAGCCGTAAAGCAAGCCCATGCAGAGACAAGTGTGATCAACGAGACCAAAGAATACTTGAAGTCCAATGGACTGAATGTCAATGCCTTCAAAAACAAAACTCGTGATGGAAAAACAATTCTCCTGAAGAATTTTGCTTTTGGAACCACTGCAGAAGAACTCTCACAGATGCTTGGTCAATACGGCACGATAGAATCTCTGCTCTTCCCTCCAACCGGCACCATAGCTGTCGCTCGCTATCAGGAAAGCGGTCAAGCAGCTTTGGCTCTCAAGCAATTGGCGTATCGAAATTTGAGGGGCTCTATATTGTTTCTTGAGAAGGCACCCGCGGGTCTTTGGGACGGTGCCGAGTCGATTAAGACTGACTCGCCCAATGCTGCTGGAGACGATGAGAAAGGTGGTGCTCTTGGTACTACATTTACAGTCTTTGTGCGCAATCTGAATTTCTCAACATCGAGCGTCCGATTAGCCGAAGCTTTCAAGCCACTGTCGGGCTTCCTCTCGGCAAGAGTGAAAACAAGGACAGATCCCAACCGGCCAGGAGAGGTTCTCAGCATGGGCTTTGGCTTTGTCGAGTTCCGCACCAAGGCCCAAGCAGAAGCTGCAATCGCCACCATGAATGGCAGGCGATTAGACGGATACGAGCTGCTGGTGCAGACGTCACAGAAGTCAACTGATCTGGGAGAAGAGCGACGGAAGGAGGACACGTCGAAGAAGCTCGACTCGGCAAGGACAAAGATCGTCATCAAAAACCTCCCCTTCGAAGCTACCAAGAAGGATATCCGTGCTCTGCTCGGTGCATATGGTCAGCTGCGCACGGTACGAATGCCCAAGAAATTTGACAACACTGCCCGAGGTTTTGCCTTTGCTGAATTTCTCACGGCTAAAGAGGCTGAGAATGCCATTGAGGCTCTGTCCAGCACCCACTTGCTTGGCAGGAGGCTTGTTCTGGACTTTGCAGAAGGTGAAATAATCGACCCAGAAACCGAGATCCAAGCCATGGAGAAGAAGACCCAGGGACATCAAGATACATTGACTCATCACAGGATGACAGGTTCGGCTCGGAAGAAGTTCAACGTTGGCGCAAGAGAAGATTTCGACCCTCTTTGAATGATCGGCGATCTAGGGGTTGGGAGCCTGCCCCTTGCAGAGCCTTCTCCCTCGCCTCCAGCCCTTGGAACTCATCCATATATTCAGCTTCAGTCAAATCTAATGTGAATGCCAAACCCTTTGGTTTTTCTCAATAATAGTCTCAGACAGAGTTCACCATGATCGTGACCAGGAATTGAATCTACTCGTGCCGACACCGGTTACTTTGCAGATCGGTGCGGCAACATCTCATTCCAAAGGCAGATTGGCCACCTTGCCGACTGCTGTCTGATTCGTCTGGCCATCATCTGTGCGCAGTATTCCCTTCTCACGAACACGCTGTTTTCGCCTCCTGCCCATGACTTTGACCACCGAAGCGTCGAGATCGAGGCTGTTTCCGCCCTGCTGACCTACCCTGATTAGGAAGCTGTCCATCCCTTGCGTTGGCCTCACGGCACCTGAGCCTGTGCAGCAAGGATTGCAAAGGGACGTTCACATTCGTGAAATTACCTGTCTTGCTTAGTCTCGGCTTTTGAACCAGTGGGATACCCAATGGCCGTGGGTTTACACGTCTGTCCGGCTGATGAATCGCAGGGTTGTGGCTGGCAGGTCCGATTGAAGACATGGGAGGAGATGGGTTAGATTGCACGAGCTCCTCCCGTGACATGGCGATTGTTATATGTTAACTCTGCTATTTCCTTTGCAGCATTCCCTCTTCTCATTCCAAAAGTCTTTTGTCCCTCTCGAACATTGTCTACCGCATTTTTCATTCTCGGTCTCGAGCATACTTGGGTAAGCATTGGGCGCCTCAAGCTCTGATGGAACGCGTACATTCCGGTGTGCCTTCACCTGTCTACCTTGGGGACGCAAGATCAGCAACTGAACGGCTCGCAGTCTCCTCGGGAAATGTTCAGCTGCTCCCAGTCACGCATAAGGAGGGGATTGAAAACCAGTATCCCCTTCCTGGAACCGACACAGTTGGGGGACAGATACCTCGTTTTCCAATTCCAGCATTGAAGCTCGGCTCCAACGATGGATCGAATGGTGCATTTACTCCAAGAAGAAGACGACATGCGCTCAAGGCACACCGATCCAAACTGGTAGGCAATCCAGATCGCCCATATCTTCATCATCCGAAATACCTCGAATATAGGTCCCGACCAAGGCAGGACATTGGGAAAGATGGCAGACCAATTTGGCCGGACAATATCGAAGCTGCCTTTCAAGACGGTGAGCCAAACCGACACCGCTGGTGGTTATACCAAGACTGACAAGAGACAGCCCTTGTACACATCAAGCCCATGGGTCGAAAGAAATGTTCACAACGAGGAAAACCTTATGGGCGTAACATGCTCATTGCCGAGTGGATATACCGCGCAACAGGCCAGAAACGGGAGCGTAAACAAGTCTCCAGCCACATACAGGTCCTTGACAGATTTCTTCAAGGCATTCCAGAATGTATGTCTCTCTCTAAGTGCATCCAAGTGTTCAAGCTGATTTTTGTTTCAGGGGATCGGTTGATCAAGCCTGGTGATGACGACGACACGAACCCAGCAGAAGGTCACAAGTTTTATCACAACTCTATTGAGCACATGGTCAACGAGCAAAAGGCAAGAAGCAAGGCCGGTGATGCTCTGTGGGAGGATGAGCTCGAGGGCCACGCCGACTCATTTGTCTCTGGGACCGTACAAAGCGACATGACCATCGCACCACGCGTCGAACGGCTGGATTTTGAAATGTGGGTGAGCTCGCCCGTCAACCACGAGACTGCCTTGCACTACTATACCGGGCAGAAACCCACGAAATTACTGTCCTTCCCCCTGGAGGAACTGGCCGAGTGGCGAACATCATTCCCACACCTCAAATCCCTAGTTGATCATGGAAAGCGCCTGGATAACTGCGACCTCATCCTCCTCAATGCAAGCTTCAAGCTGATGGAGGATTTCCCACCCCGACACTCCAAGCTTGGCATCTGTTTTGAACTCAAGTATCCAGATCTGCTCTGGAAAGTGTCCCAACAGGACGCCAGACTCATCAAATGGTTCTGCGTCACCTACATGTACCGTGAAGGAGTGCTCATCACGGAGCCTACCCGCGAGGAATGCCAGACTCAGGGCCACTGCCGGATCCAGCCGTTCTTCCAGTCGAAATGGTGGGCGTCGACCTTCACCTCTCTCACCGAGGCGAGAAAAGTTGCCGAAGATTCCAGGGACCCAGAAGCCGTCGACCTCGCCACTAGCCAGTCTCGCGACTTCTTCCGCGGCCTGTCGATCATGCAAGAAATATACATGGTGCGTTCACCCCACAGTAGCGACTTTGACGATACCTTGAGGCGGGAGACACGGAAGAGGACCGCGATCCTGCTGTGGCAGTTTTCGCAAGCGCCCACGGACAGCGTCGGATCGACGACATGGCAGACGCTGATCCCCCCACCAGATCGTCTGGCGACCAACAGCCCATTCCCGCACGGCGTGGAGATGAGCCTGCCGCCGCTCTCAATGGATTCTATCGTCGACTGTTCCCCTGGCATCAACTCGTTCGAGAACACCCAGCAGTTCCAGCCGGAACACGGCATGGCGTACGACCTGTATCCCAACACCATGGACGAAGAACTATGCCAGGACGGGTTCATGACTTTGAAGCAAGAAAGCCCCCTCCACGACTTTAGCCACTTGCCGTCATCATTCGACATCGGTGCGAGCCATGACTTTTCCTCCCTCGAGGCCTCGATCCACGATACCTTCGATCTCCCCGGGCACACTGGTCTGTCGCCGTGGTCACCGCAGATCGACGAGCAGGACGAGGTCCTGCGCCACGCCTTACTCGCCGCGTCGGGCGTCGACCTCGACACTGGAGCGCTTCCGACACATCATCCATCACCCACGGCGCGTGCCCACGAGGAATACATCGCTCCGGACGGTCACCAGAGACACGCTGGCGTGGAGGGTCATTTTGTCTAGGACGTGTACCGCGCGCTCTGACTTTATTTGTAGTATTATCGTCATCTTGCCGACTGCGTTGCTCAGCAAGATACATTGCACGGCTCGGGGTATTGCTTTATGTCTTGAGACCTAGGCCCAACGAAGCGAGGATGTCCGACGAAGCGGCCAACCAACAAATCATCGCAGGCAGAGGTCCATGGAGCGAAAGGAGGGAAATTCAAGGACGTGGGCGCAGGCATAGTGGACAATGGACAATGGACAATGGCCACTTAGCTAGGAAGTTAGTTATTGCTATTTCAATGAAAGTTTTGTTCCTTCAAGTACCCACAGTACGTAGTAGGTAGTAGGTTGTAATAGTGCCTCGTCCTCAATAGAAATATCTGACCAGTACTTGTAGTAGGTCCTTCGACTCGAATCCAAATCCCAATCCCATCGCATAATGTCTACGGAAACATGTCCATGTACATGTGCATTCCCTCCCTCCCTACAAACTATATTTTACATTTTTGACTATGTATCTCTCGTGCTCCCGAAGTATTTCGTAAGGCTCGTAATATAGCGCCGCTCACTGTAACGCCACTCAGCGGCATTATATCACGGGGTGAGAGAGGTCCTGCTGCCTACATACTTTGTATACATTCAGGTCAGGAGAAATTCCAGTCAGCGAGAGAGCGCGCGAGCGAGTAGCCTCAGTCAACGCTCACCATTGGTTGACCATGCCCAGCCCCTGCACTCCAAGCGACGAAGCGAATGAGAAAGAGGATTGCCCAAGGGAAGATATGTCTGGCGCGGTATTATGAACCTATTGGTCTCCTTCCTACCTACCTAGCCGCAAGGTCAAGTGACCGACCAGTCGCAAGCTCATGGTCTCAGATAGTGCATGATTGTGGTGGAGACCCAAAGCTTTCGGCAGACTCGTTTGCTCAATGAAGCTTCAAGTACCTTGTACGGTACATAAATCACGGATGGAGAGATAAGAGCGTTGCCACCTGCGAGACTCGTCCATTTGGCATGCTAGCTAAGCCTCGCGGGGGCGCGCGGTTGGTCTTCTAGCCCCAAAAGAAGCGAAGGAGGATGAGACTGCATATCTTGAGACGACTAGACTAGTACGAGCGCCACAAGGGGGCATCGCGCCAGTGTTAAGGCCGGGGGGTGGGCAAGCAGGCGGATTTCACGGCTAGATGCACGGCCGGATGGATCGTCGACAGAGTATGCACTGTAGACGGATTCATGAAGAGGATCCCAGAGATTGATTTGAAGGATGAAGCAGTCGTTGTGTAGTCAAAGTGGTGGACAGAGGTGCGAGACCGACACAGTCTTGGTGTTGTCAGAACAGGCACGTTCATGTCGACAAGGGAAGCGCCCGGAATGACAGGGTTAGGCACCCCCGGCACTAAACCGGAGCGGCTGTGGGGCGGGGAACTGCCTACCTAGAGTGGTAGGTACTGTAGTTTAGCAAGCTACTCGCTAGGTACCACTCAAGCGCCAAGCTATCCTCGAGGTACCCTGTGGGAGACGGGGCTGCATCTTCACCAAAGCCCCTGCAGCGAGGCACACACCACACCACCCCACCCCTCCGTGGCGTAATGATATGTATGTACATTCTCTGTCGTAGCTTGGTGCATAACATTGACACAGACATACATGCATATCTACCTATTCAATCAAACGGAGTAGTCATATCAACTCCAATCACAAAGTTCCATTCCCAATAAGTAAATACCCCTGAAAGTCCAACGACGTGTTCGCGCTTCAACGCGCATCATTCTGTCTGCGTGGTTCAAAACCCCACAAAGACACGGATACGCTCGATCAGCATGGTAGTGCGCAAGCCGGTCTCTGGACCGCCGTCTGAAAGGGTTAACCTGGCAGCTGCGATAGTCACTTCGCCATCTCCATCTTCTTTAGAGGTAGCGGCAGCATCTCGTCTGATGTCCTCGTCCGCCACGCCCTCTTGGTCTGCCTCTCTCACGTCCTCCCAACCCTGGCCTTTCTGCCCCTCCTCTATTCTAGAAGTGGAGGAAGAGCCCGTCTTTGAACCTTTGCCTGAGCGGGCGGGGACGGATCTCGGTGGTTTTGAAGGCGTCTCGGGGGGTGACGGAGTTTGATCCCAGTGTGACATTGTCTTCGGTGGGGCCGACTCTGAACGACTCGACAACGTATATTCTGATCGCTTCCTTTGGTGTCCTTGACGAGCCAGAGATGATACCTGGGCAACAGCAGGACTGCCCTTGGGTGTGTCTGGTTTTGGCTTTGGGCTTGCAAAGTGGAAGGTGCCGTGGGGGACAAGTTGCACTGGGTTGGCAGGCAAATGCCACGGAGTACCCAATGCTGGGTGATGTGATTTCCAGGAAAGTTGAGATTCGACATCGATGAGGAAAAATTCGAACCACTCCATGGGATGTTGGGACTTTTGACTCTGTTCGAACGCTTCCAAGGCCTCTTCCCACGCCTTTTTCAGGGAGCCTTCTTGACCCTCTATGTCATAAGGCTTCTTGAGAAACCAGGACGTGACAAGATTGATCACTGATATAGCGAACCAAAGCCCACAGCTGAAGTATTCTTGGTGTTTCGTTGGGGGTTTCTCCTTGCCCTTACATTGGGTGCATTCGAAAGGACTATTCCACTGGGAGAGCAGATGGTGGACCAGTTTTTCAGCCTTGAAGACTGCGTCGAAATTGTCTGTTCTGAAAATTCTTCCAGCTTTGAAGCTGCACTTCTGCACATCCATGGGTCGCTCCGTATTGTCAGCTCTAGCGCGTCCAACTTTGACCAATTCGTTTTCTTGGATCTGTACAGCATAGATATAGCCGTTTGAATCTTTTGTGGGCGCATCCTTCCTAATGCAAGAGATCATCTCTTTTGTCTTCTGCTTTTGCTTTTTGCCTATCCACGTCTCGAATTCGCTGTACTTGTGCTGCGCCTCTCGAAGGCCAGCATCCAACATGTCGTTACTGACGACCGGCCGCCCAAAATGTATCGGTAGCATTTTGGACCAAGGTTGTTGCACTCGCGACGAGCAGTCAATCTCTTTCGATGGAACTTGGTACCCACGGGGGATATATGGACAGGCTTCTTCCAGCTGAGACGGAAACCACAGAGAAATGTAAGAATGACCCCGAAACTGAGAATGCTCGGAGGAGGGCAGTAATGTCCGTATAATAATCCGCGGAAGAGATGGTCAGGCAAAGGTCGATATGGCGCATGTAGAGAGCGGCAGTCCGTGCTTGGAGTTGGCTTGTCTAATATACCGCCCATCGTACCAGTTCCCATGGGGGCCGGACCGGGTGATTTGGCCGTATTCCAGTGCATGGGATACCATGCTGTATAAATGTCGAAGGCTGGTATCATTAGCATGTACGAGGTACTCGGTACTTCACACCCACACTTCGTGCGGTGCCGACCTTCAAGCGTTGATGACCCCCAGCCACGACAGTGCCTTGACGACGGCGCTTCTTTCTGAGACACTGGCTGGCCCTAGCTCTATCTATCTCTTTACCATCCCTTCTCTGGAAGCCGTTATACGCTATCAGTAGTAGACCGCATTGGACACCCTGGTTTCATGGGTGCGTTAAGGTTTGTCGTCGTGGCTTTTTCGCTGTGCAAAGCATTGTCAGTGCATGCACCATCTGGGACGAAATCGATCAACCCCCCCTAGAGCTGGACAGATGGACAGATGGCCCCGGCTAGCAGAAGCAGCGTTATTGACCGGCCTCCAAATCTGCAGCCACATGCAACCCTGGCGTTTCCTGAGCGCCAGGGGAAGTGCGGCCGGCGCGAGTATCGGCGAGCCGACGGTTTCAGCCATGTTCCTTCTCTTATGCCGGTCTTGTCATTTCTTAAGTGTTACAGACGTGTTCTTCCTCACACAGGGATGCGTTCCGAGGCCATAATGACTGTTCGAAGTTCTTCGTCAAATTTAAGCGCCATCCTTGAGAGACGCACCTACCAAAGTCCCCAGTTCAATCTCCACAGGTGTTAGCGTTAGTCCGGCATTGGATCGTCTCGGATGTAGAGATTCCGCGGCCATTGTCCTTTTGGCGAACGCCCAGTGTGGCTTGTGTGGGTATTGGCTGTGGGTGATTAGATCGTGCGAGAAGGTGTTCAGATGACGAGACTGGCAAGGAGGTCATTTGTTCCAGATACACCGAGAACCAAGCATTTTAGACAGACGCAGTTGTCTACCTACCACCCCTCGATCTAGTCGTTGACCGACGGAACTTTGTCACTTCAAGATGCCAATGACGACGTTTCGCGCTTTGGACGACCTTTGGCGAACCAGCCTGCGCATTACACAGCCTCAGCCGACCAAGTCGAACCCTTTGCCCAGCATAGCCCGGTGCTGCTGCCTAGTATCAGCCTCAATGGTTAATATGGGACAACATTTAAGACGACAACCATGTCGTTCTCGCCAGTAACACCATGTCAAGCTGTTGCCATGAAATGCTGTCCATAGGGGCACAATGGCTCGAACCCGGGACGAACGTCTCCCATGGTCGCCATACCAGGGTGTACGAGAACTCACAAGCCTTGAGACTGAACAGGAAAACATTGAACTCGAATGTTTACCAGCTTTTCAGCATATGCCCCTGGACCTCGCACGTAAGAGTATACGACTTCTGACTGTTCTACCAAGGCGAACAGGAGGTCGGATCTGTGGCCAACTGAGTCAGCATTGCCTTCCTGATAACGGTAGTGATATCAACTATGTTGCTCTGTCCTATGAATGGGGCAACAGATCCGGACCCCGGCGTCTCATCAAGATCAACGGCGCAAAATTCGAAATACAGGAAAATCTCTTCCACTTTCTTGAATCTCACGGGGACGCCGGGATCCCGAATCTGTGGGTCGACGCCATATGCATCGACCAGGACGATGTCCGGGAAAAAAACCACCAAGTACAGCTCATGAAAGACATCTATGGCAAGTCCTCCGCGGTGACGATTTGGCTTGGGCTAGGGAACCCTGAGAGTGACAGCCTCTTCGACTTCCTGAATGGAGTCCCTGAACAAGAGCCGCAGTGTGCATCTCTCAGCCAACCGCCACTACTCGAGGCGCCAAAAAAATCGAAAACCGAACAACAATTTCTTAACGCGGGAGCCAAATGCTCACAGGCGGCTTACCAGTTGTGCCAAAGAACGTACTGGTCAAGAGCGTGGATCGTGCAAGAAGCCCTCCTGGCCTGTAGCCTTGAGCTTGTCTGTGGTAACAAGCGAGTGTCTTGGACAACATGGGCTCGATACATCGACTTGGTTGGTAACATACCAGAAGATACAATGGATCCGTTATATTGGCCTCATAGAGGTTTCACATTGGGAATCAGATATTCTATGGCTTTTACCTTGTGTCAGCAGAGGATAGCCAGGCTTGGGACCATCGCTATGGAAGATCTCGCTTTGCTTGTGCTGGCCTTTGCCGAATCCGAGTGCTGGGATATACACGACAAAGTCTATGCATTCCTTGGACTGGCGTCGAACGGGAAGAAAATTGCCGTCAATTACCAATGGCCCATGGAGGGTCTCTTTGTAGCTGTCCTAGCAACCACCTCTGCAACTCTTTCAGATCACGAAATCTCTACCTTGCGCACGACCCTTGGAGTAGCCTCGACCTTTATCGCTCGAGGTTTACGACTTGATACAGATGCCCCGTTGGAGTTTCCAGTACCAGTTGAAGAGACAGTGCCTGTCTGGAAGGCCAAATTGAAATACAAGAGGACCACATATTCACTTTCTTCAAAAATATCGCTGCGGTTTGATGAGCGTGTCTGGGGCGAGGCGCAAAAGAACACTCCGCGCGTTTGTGAATGTCCTTCATGCAAGGCGTGGGCCATAAACTACCACCAGCGACTAATTGACCTGCACCAAGGAAGAAAGTTGCTGTTGTTGGCTCTTCCCGTGAAGGAGGATGACAAGCACCAAACGTACCTGCTGTTGGATGGCGATGGTGAATATGTGGCCACCGGGACTTTGCAAATCCTGGGCGGAGCAACCAACAGTTTCTGGTCCGACATGATCATCTTGTACGACCCCCCTATGTCCATCAACGTGCGTGGGGGTATAGTTGGGTTATCGATGGTGCAGAGGTTGAATATAATAGAACATCAGGGATACAGATCAGACCCGAAGTGCAAGACTCTGTTTTGGCTGCTTTGAGGCTGAACAATGTCCTGCCGAGTGAAGCTTCTGCAGTATTGGGCATCATGAAAGATTGAGTATCCGAAGACGGGATTGGCAAAGTAACATCCTTTGCGACGATGGTCAAGATCTCCTTACGATGGTTCTAGGACAAAAATACATGGGAATAACAGCATTGATTAGCTATGTGGATCTCTCGAGTCTCGACATGCATCTAGCACCATCCCATTTGACACAGCGGCTTTCATAACAACAGGACACGAATCGTTGACAACCCAGCCTAATCTCGGCCTTCGCGAAGCAACATCCACAGCAAGAAAGACCTTGACCCGTAATGTGGACGAAAAGGGGTCAGTGAAATCGACAATCTTCGTTCCATCTACCGCACCCGAAACGAATGAATGGCTGAAAGTCCTCTTGCATGGTGTTGAGGCTTCACGAATTGGGTGTTTAATGCTGTTGATGACCGTCAGGACACTGTCTTCCAAACAGATTCTCATTCATCCGAGGGATAAACTTACTCCGCAAGAGGTGCATTTGCAGCCAGAGCCGCAGTTGCAGCTGCCAGGGCCGGAACAAGTGCAGGGACCCATTGTTGGAGTGGTGTTTGTGGTTGTTGGTGTGATTGTTTGAAAAGATTTGGTTCTGGTGGGTGGTTCTTGTGATCTGATCTGATCTGGTGTGATGAAGTTGTGAGATGGAGGAAGCGAGAAAACGCAACAAGCCGAGGGGGAAAAACCTGCCAATACTTATACACGACGAGCCAGAAGCAAAGCCGAGCCAGCACAGCGCCCTGCGTGGTTTGTGCGTTTTCTTCAAACCCAATCAAGCGTACTTCTCTGCATGGCCTGGACGAACCAGATCGACCCGACCCGTGGAGGGCAAAGGAGAGGGCGACCAACCAGCGACAAGTGAATCAACTCCTTTGGGCAAAACCGGCTCTCGGCCTTGAATGGGCCAGATGGGACAGAGGCGAGAGTGTCACAAAGCGTGGGGTTTGGTATCGATCGGGGCCTGGGTGTGCTGAGGCATCTTTGCGTACTCGACATCCTGTCAGCCGCCGCCCGTGGGTTGTTTGCCTGATGGTGGAGTTTGCCGGATCAGCGCAGCTGCGCCCTCTATTGGCCGAAGATCGGGGTTTCAGAGGGAGGGGGTAAGGTTTTACGCACAAGAGACTCAAAGAGGGGGGCTCGGCAGCTACGCATAAAGGGCTCAAGCCATCGAAAGGGGGAAAGGTTCGCGAAAGTTCTGGATCCCACAGTGATTTACGTCCTCGTGCTGGTCGACGTTGTGGACCGGCAACAAAGTGATGAGGGTCATTGCATTGTGCATCTCTTATTGACAAGAAGCTGAGCCAAAAAACCGCTATGAACGAGCAAGCCTGAGATCGATGGCCACAAGAGAGCCTTATCATCCCACACGCTGAAGGACAAGATGGACAACAAAACCATCTCATATGCATCTGGACTTTTTGTTTGTCTAGGTGTATTCATACATCTTTTCCCAACTCAGGAGGTCCCTATTCCCTCTGCCAACCAGCCAATGGGATAGTCGTGATCCGCTTACAGGAAGAATGGAACAGCGAGACCAGCGGCAGCAATGAGACCTTGCATCAATTGAGGTCCGGTGGTCGGAGCAGCCATACCGGCTGAGCTGGACGAGGCGGCACCTCCTGAGGCGGTGGCAGAGGCTGAAGGGGATGCAGTTGCTGACATGGTTCCTGCAGTTGACGATGAGCTGGTGTCGAAGTCATTCTGGTTCGTGAGGGTTGCCGTCAGGCCGGTGACGTTTGTGCAGCTGGAGCTGACGGTTGAGTTGATGCCGTCGACAAAGTTGACTGCCGCACACTGTGAGGTTGAATGTGTTAATTGACCTTGTCCTGATTGAACGACATGATGTCGTCTCTTCTTGGATCTTCAGCTTACCTGATACAAGACACCATCAGGACCCTTCTGGATCACTTGCACAACGCCCTGCTGGCCAGCAAACTCAGCCGGGGCGACAAGTTGCGGCAGACAGAATTGACCCAGGCCAGTCTCTGAGACGACCGGGAGCAGGTTGGTCCAGTTAAAGGGCGCTTGTTGGTCGAGGGTGACACGGAAAAGCCAGTCAGCGGCAGGATGGGTGCTCAGCATCGACACCGGGAAGCCGCCCACGGGGATGGAGTCGTCGGTGCCGTTGAAGACGACGTCGAAGCCACCACATGGCGCAGTTCCTTCATTGTCATCGTTGAAGCCGAGGGAGGAGGGGTATTGGAGGATAAAGTGGGCAGAGGTGCAGAGGGCCCAGGCGGACACGAGGGAGAGGTGACGGAGGAAATGCATATTTGGCGAGCGTGTGAATGCTTGAATGTCGAATGGAGAGGTGAGGGTTGATTGATGGAAGAGTGCGTGAGTCGAATGTACGAGTAAATCAGTGAGTGATCGAGCAGTGATGGTGGCCAAGACTTGAGGCTCTCGATGCGACTGCGTCTACTACTCTCCTTTTGTGCTTTTTTTCCCGTGCACGTCTACTCTCGTCTCGTTCTCTCTCGTTCTCTACGAAGATCAGGAGTCACCGGGGTTTATTATTCTATGTGGTTGGCCCCGCGGCTTCACCCTCAGCTGTTTTCACCCTTAGCGGTTGCTTGTCTCTTTCTCCCCCATTGCATGGCACTAGTGGTGGTGAGCAAGTTTCGCAGGTGGACCCCTCACCGCACGAGCAGATTTTCTGGCCAATCAGGTGATCTCGGTCTGGGCTGGGCGATCGCGGTCCGCAGGTGAGCACAATCCAGCAGCCTCAATCATCCACGCATAGTTGCAGACTCAGGCAAACTCAACCACCAGCGTTCATCCCTTTATTAGTTGCTGCTCCATCTCACCCGCTGCATCCCACCACCATGCCGCGCCGCCGACCACCTTGCTCTTCTTCCTCCGCCTCGGATACGACAAGTCGAGTTACAAACTGCTTGCTCGCGTCGGAGGATCGCCGTTCCTTTTGTTAAAAAATAAATCGAAATCTTGCTCACTTTCCCTCCCGTCTCGTCCGCCCGCTCCTGGTGGCGCTTTGTACTTGTTACGTCCCCAGACGAGCACGTTTCCATGGTTTCGGATACCACCGTTTCGCCCGTCACCGTACCTATTCTTACCCATGCGTGGCACCCTTGATGACATGACACGGTTGAGCTAAAAGACAAACTGGTAGTCTGTTCTGCGTACACCTACCGTCAGTACTTCGTACAAATCATCGTCCGTCCAGCGCCAAGGGCAAATATCATTCTTTCAAGGTATACTTGCAGAGGACGTCCTCCTAGCACATCGATAACGATCTGTAACGATAACAAGACCTGCAAACAACCACCACCGCCAATTCAACCGCAACCATGGACATGTCAGGGATGTCCGGAATGGGCGGCATGGACATGGCCATGACAAGCATGTTTACGCCGACAAATAAAAAGCTGGCGCATCTGTACTGGTACTTGGTCGCTGCGGTTGTGGGCGTACTCGTCTTTCGAAGGGTGGTAGATCGACTCAGAATTCTTGCAAAGTAAGTTTTGAGTTGACTCGGGATATTGATATCGGAGTCACTGACATGCGGTCAACAAGTAAGCGAAAGTCACAACAGCAACCAGGACAAATACCTGGGAGACCACAGAATGCCCTCGAGCAACTCTACGACACCACCATAGCCATTTGCAGAGAGCTGGCATACCCACAACTATGGACGTGCACCGGCAGATTTACCAGATATTTCACTCCCCCTTCCTTGGGGAGATGCCTCCTGCTCCTCACCTACTGGGCCGTCATCCTGACCATGTTATGGTCAAATGTCCTCCTAACCCCCTCCTCGCCCAACTACGCCTACCGATGGGAGATTGTGGGCTTTCGTGCTGCTTGGGTTTCGGTCACCCAACTACCCCTGATTTACATTTTATCTGGAAAAGCCAACATCATCACAATGTTGACTGGCATCTCGTATGAGAGATTGAACTGGTTACATCGCTGGATCAGCCGCACTATTTTCTTGACCGTCATCGTGCACTGGTCGTACTTTTTCACCGAGTGGTCCATTGCCGACTTTGTGACCTTGCAGCTGAAATGGATGCCTATGGTCAAATATGGATTTGGTGCTTGGGCGACATTGGGTTGGATGGTCATCACGGGATTTGGCTTTTTCCGGAATCTTTCGTACGAGCTTTGGTTCGTGCAGCATCTCGCGGCAGCCATGGTGCTGTTGTGGCTGGTCCACGTTCACGTCCCTTCATATGCGCAGTACAATGTGTGGTTTGCGGTAGGAGTCGTTGCCTTTGACAGGCTCGTCAGGACAGTCATGTCCTTGGTCATCAATTTACATCTCCTTCCCAACAAACGGGACAGTGTTCCGTCCGGCCGACGTATCGGATATGAAGCTGAGGTGAAGGCTCTTTCAGGCGAGTTTCTGCAGGTCAAAGTGCGAAACGTCGCAATGTCGTGGCGGCCCGGTCAGCATGTGTACCTGTCCATCCCTCGCGCCGGAATCTTCGAAGCACATCCATTTACCATTGCCAGCATCCCGAAATCAGTATCTGGAGAAAGCGGACCCAACACTATTGAGCTGTACGTGAGGGTGCACAATGGATTCACCAAGAGGCTATACCGTCGGTGTCAAAACCAGTTGTCATCCCGCACCTTTCTGTCATTCATTAGCGGACCGTGGGGAAATCCTCCCTCTGTTGAACGATTCGAATCAATGGTCTTTGCGGCTACGGGGAACGGCGTTTCTTTCACAATTCCCATTTTCCGACAGGCCGTTCTGACGAGCAACAACGTACGACAGATTTCCTTCATTTGGATCTTCCGACAGGCGGAGCAACTCGACTGGTTCAAAGAGGAGTTACTCTCCGCATGGGTGGCGGCACGACGGCGCAACATCAAAATAAACATATATGCTTTCATTACTGGGCATGGACAGCTGCGAAGCGTGTCGCCGTCGGAATGCAACGCATTGTTCGAGCCAAGATCAGATTCAAATCATTCAGTCCCAGAGAAACTACTGGACAACAATCTCGACACGGCCGACATACCTGATAATGCCAAGCTTTCTATGCAAAAGGAAATAGGAAGCGTGAGGGAGGACTCTGTCTCCTCGTCCTCTTCAGTAAATGAGCAGCCCAAGATACAGGTCGCCTACGGTCGCCCGGATTTTGATCTTCTCATTCACCCAGTCGTGGAGGAGGCCTGGGGCGAGACAGGAATCCTCGCTTGCGGTGGCATTCAGTTTTCTGGGCAGCTGAGGAATTATGTGGCCAAGCTGTCTGATGAGAGGGCGGTCCACAAAGGCACGGGCGCTCAAGGGATATATCTGTTTTCGGAGACTTACGGGTGGTGACAGCATAGCGACAGTCGTTGGGATTATAGACGTTTATGGCATTTTTAGATATGAGATACGACTCCTGGCACTGACTGTGTACTTGGTATTTACACCCAGCATTCTACCCCCTTTTTCTCTATCCTACAGCATGTCGTTGTATATCCCACGCTATTCCCACTCGACCTTGTACCCGCTCGGGACAAAGCGTGTCTCTTCGGCTCGTGTCCTCAGTCCATGCAGTCCATGCATGCCACAGGTACACGGGTCCCACTTACGGTCAGACACCAGCATCAACCACGTCCCTGAATCTACTGACTCCACGGAACATTGCCAAGAAATGCCAAGGACCGAAAGGAACACACCGTCCAGATGAGCAAGTTTATCATGAGGTCTGTTCTATCGCGTTGTCCAATGACAGGCTACGTCTTTCAGCCACTCGTGGGAGAGTGGATGCTTTCATTACCCATTTTCTTTCGAGTCCAGATGGTTCCTCCTTGCCTTGAGCAGCTAAGAGGTTGAGAGAGAGAAAAGTTACCATGGTGTATTAGCATTAGAGAGGCAGATAGGATTAGGTCAATGGTTCGTGTGACCCCCGGTGCTGGTAAGCTAGGAAATAAAAAAGTACAAAAGGTCAAGAGGGTCGCTTGGGGAGGGAGAGAGAGTCTGTGACTCAACGGAGGAACATGGTGAATTCTGCTAGGTCCTGGGGACCGTCTGACTATATACCTTCGAGTAATTTACAGGGCCCTACCGGCGCTAGTCCGAAGGCCTTCGGCCGAGGACTAGCGTGA